CACCGGTAGCCTCCCATCGTCCAGTGCGATTCCACAGAGTTGGCCTTCTCAGGATGCCGTCGGCCAGACAGTGTCAGCTAGTGACCCCCAGGGGAAGAGCCTTCTCTGTGGGAGTGCCTTCCCTCTGGAATGAGCTGCCCCCAGAGCTTCATATAATTCCCGACCTCCGGTCTTTCCGACGCGCCCTAAAAAGTTGGCTTTTCCAGCAAGCCAGCCTAGCCTAAACAAAATAAAATTAAGTATTGATCACTGTTAATTTTAATTCTAATTTTTTTTAAAAAAATGTATTGTCAATTTTAATTGGGTTTGGGATACTCCATTTAATTTTTTTAAAACTTTTATATTATGTATATTACATTTATATTTTTAACTTTTATATTATGTATACTTATATTATATTATATTTTAATTGTTGTACGCCGCCCTGAGTCCTTGGGAGAAGGGCGGCATATAAATCTAATAAATCTCAAATCTCTTAAACCCCAGGGCTTCAGTTTTTAGTTCAGAAAAGGAAAATATGAACTACTTGTTTCCCTTTAGTTGTTCTTTCTCTTTTTGCCTAAGATTTACAACATATTTCAAATAAAAACCTCAGGCTCGATGAGACATATTGCCTCTAAAAGCAAGCAAAAAAAGAAACTCCACCAAGGAACAGAAAAAGCCAAAAAGGCAAATAAAATTTGTCTCTAAAGCACTTTAAGAGGAAACTTTTTCAAGAAAAATTTAAATCAAAGAGATCTCTGATCACATCAGGAACTAGGGTTTTTTTCTCTAAAAATTTTTGCTCTTGATTTAACATCCTGTCTTTTAACCATAATTATGCAGATGTGTTTGGATGATTAAATTTTTTTAAAACTGATGTTACATTATTTTTCACTTATCCTGTCTCCAGTAAATCTTGCACTCGGTATACATTCCGACTATACCAGCCTTCTGTCCAACTGCTGCTTTTTAAATACATAATACCGTAAGTTCCAGGTCCCAAGCAAACATGGAAAATTGCATTGAACATTTTGCGCATTGTACTTTAACTACCTTTGAAGAGCACCCTATTTTAAAAAATAGCTTTGGAATGTATCTATAAAAATATTTGTCTGAATACCTGAATAACTTTTACATCTGGCTGAAATCTTGGTGGAAGTCCAAAATGCAGAATCCAATTCAGTCTGGCTCCAAGTAATACTATCACATCAGCATATTGTAGTGCCCTAATCATTAAAAAGAAAAGAAGTGAATTAGTTTATTTTCATATATATTAAAAATATAGAGAATAGCAATTAAAATTTTGTGTTCTTTAATCACTTTAATTGAACGTTGCTTTTTATCACTCCAAAGTATTATCAGTTTGGAGATTTGGAATGATTCCTACTCCTCTAAACTGGAAAGGTGGATTGTTTAATTTATTGAATAAGTTATCTCCCAATAAATTCCTAATATGACCTTGGTACCTTTACTATTATGTTATTTTTGTTCTTGTAACAGTGATAACTACTATGATCTTTATCCTTAATTTCAAAGGTTAGAACGTAAGGCTCTATTTGTGTATTTACCTAGATCTGGCTGCAGCCACACAATATGGATGGTTGTCAGGAACAACTCCCTTCCCCATTGGCGTAGGCAAAAATGGAAGCCCACACTGGTCCACCAATTTCCTGATGCTGTTTTCAGCACGTGAGTAAGCAGCACCTAAGAGACATACCCACCACCATAAAAGCTCCACGACATTATTTCAGTACCCTATTAACTTTTTCTATGACCAATCCAGTATCGCTGTTTACTGATGATGTTGTTAAGAGCCACTTATATCTTCATTTGAATGTTAGAAAAAAATAATATGCAGATTCGTATTAATAAAGTCTTGCATACAAAAGGATAATATTTTACCATAGAATATGGTTAATTTGCAGCAGTATTAAACTTTAAAAATTTACAATATTTTATTGGGATTGCAAAAATGACTTATTTTCCAATAATGACTAGTGTTTTCAATTAAAACTGACCTATAAAAAGAATGATTGTTACAATCAAAATTTCTGATTTGACAACATGCAAGAATTCAAAATAATAATCTATGCATTTTGAACAAGCCATTTACTTAAAATAATAATTAAACATTTTAAATTACAAATTCATCTGGCATCATTTTATAGCAAAGCAGTTGTCTAATATAGTCTCTCCCTTTGCAGAAGTATGGTAAATGTCAACTCTATGCAACTGTCAAAATCCCTTTTTGCTGCCAATTATACTGCCAAGATTGGACAATATGGTCCAATATTTACAATTGTTTTCCTCCCTCTAAATTAAATTCTAAAATAGGTATGTTGCTCCCTAGCAAGTCTAATAATTCAATTTTAAGGTAATTTACTTTTTAAAAAATAATTTTACTTCCCATCCACTGTGGTGATAACCCTGCATTATCATCATATTCAGAGTTAAAAAAATTTAAAAGTACAATTTCTTAAAAAAAGATGTTTAGCAACCAAATATTTTCAGAGAAAGTTATTATATTTTGTTTAATAGGCAAAAAAAAATCCCTGAGACATATTAATTTCAACAGACAAAATAATTTATTTGCTTATTTTATAAATAGACTAAACATTTTAATTTCAACAGACAAAATAATTCTTTACTTATTTTATGAATAGACTAAACAATATGACAAGGAAAGAAACATTTCAATTATTATATTTTGCAGTTTTAGGGAATAGGGTGTTTGTTCGTTTTGATAGGACTGAAATAAGGTTACCTTTGCCAATAATTAAAAGTGGTTTCTTGGAATGTAAAATAAATGAAACTGCTTTTGAAATGGTCATCTCTTCAGCCATACTGATAGGAGGTGCAGGACAGCAATCAATGTACCTGTAAAACAGAATAAAAAACTAATCCTCACAAAAGACCTGGAATAAGCAACAGAATAAATAAGCAACAATTTAATTTGTGTCTTATCATTTCAGGCTATTATTATGAGAAGCAACTAATGTGAACATATTGCATTCTCAGCATAATGAAACACTGGCTTACTATGGAGCTATTTTTTTTATAGTGAATGGAAGTATCCTGAAAATTAGATTGCTCCTCCTACTCGTTTTGATAGGCAGAACTAAAATCATTCCTAAGAGTCAGAGAGCAACACTTTCTTACAGCTACAAAATCAAAAATCAATGAGCTCAAAAAGCGTGACCCGTCAAAAGCGCGGACGGCAAAAGCGCGATCGACAAAATCGCGCCTTTGACGTCATCACAGCGCGACGAAAAAGATNATATATATATATATATATATATATATATATACATACATACATATATACATATATACATATATACACATATACACATACACACACACACACACACATATATATACACACACACACATACACACACACACACACACACACACACACACACATACAAATAATACTGATTTATACATAAGTAATTAATAAATGCTGGACAAGAACAGAGCTATTTCAGATACTGTAAATAGATAATTTTTATTATGGTCACAGATCAGCATTTCAAAGTTTTTCTACAATCTGTTAATTACAACACAACTTTTTTGGCTGCTTGCTTTTAAGTTGAATTATCAAATTTCAAAGTTCATGCTGATTAAACTGAGCTAGTGGACACGGCTATCAATTCTATCTCCCTCGGATCCCCTTTTTCTTTTTGTTTACTCATTCTAACATTTTATTTTCTGATCTCTCATTCCTTTCTTCCCAGAGTGAACCATTTATTTGCAGAAGGCCCCTAAATACAGAAGCATCTAATCACACCAATATCATGGGTCATTCACTTCTGCTTTAAAAATTCCACTCTCCAATGCTTGCATGTATACTTATTACAGGTGGTCTTTGGGTTACAACCACTCGTTTAGCAACTGTTCAAAATCACAACTTCACTAATCAAAGTTATACTTTTTGGAAACGAAAATGGGTGGACAGAGTTCTTTCTATGTTCTAGAAATTATCTGTTGAATTAAAAGTCTGATAGAACAAATAGTATTCATGGCTGGCTAGTTCCATTTATTTAACTAATTTTATAAAATATTATTTCATAGGAAATTTTTAATGGTGTAACCTGATGGTGGAGAAAAAAATCTATTCCTCATAAGAAACAATACTTTTCTCTAATTCCCTATTGGCATAACAAGAATGAAATACATAATAGTTTCCTTTTATATTTATATTTAACTAAGAACTTTATCTGGATGGTAAAATATGGAGGTAAAAAATGTAAATTGAAGTAAATGTTTCATCAGCATGTGCTAATATCAGGAATGTAAATATAAATTATCTTTATTTGTCCTTCCAAGCAAATTGAATACAAATTGTCAAAATATTTACTCAGAAGGAAACTAATATATATTTACCTGTGCCGAGGAAGATAATTTGGGAGCATGGTGCGCCCAATATCCATTGTATTTGCTCCCTCACTGATCAGAATACAATCCTTTGGCAAAAGTTCCCTTACATGATGGAATACTGTATAGTAATTCATTGGCAACTGTTTTTCTAGTGATAGTGCCTTAAATGAATGAGAAAATGGTGTTAAAAATCAGCTCGCTCAACTTTTCCTGAACATATAAATATTACAAAATCAGGATTTTGTATTTTATTAATGTTTATACATTTTTCCCATTTCAATCTCTAATCACCAAGGGAATCTGAGTAAATAAATAAAACCAGAGTTTAATGCTGACTTTATTTTGTTCATTGAAGTCATCCAGTGTCTAATAAACCAATATGGAGAAGTAATCAACCCACTGGATTCAGTAACTGATTCCACCAATTTCATTTGGAATAACTGCAGTCAAACAATTCCTGTACTTAGTTATCAGTTTCCAACATCTTATGTGGGATTTCAGGTCCATTCTCCATGATAAATGTCTTTAAAAAATCATAAGAAGAGCCGAGGTGGCGCAGTGTTTAAATGCAGGACTGCAGGCTACTTCAGCTGACTGCAGTTCTGCAGGTCGGCTGTTCAAATCTCACTGGCTCAGGGTTGACTCAGCCTTCCATCCTTCCGAGGTGGGTAAAATGAGGACCCGGATTGTTGTTCGGGGTAATATGCTGACTCTGTAAACCGCTTAGAGAGGGCTGAAAGCCCTATGAAGCGGTATATAAGTCTAACTGCTATTGCTATGAAGTAATGCTGATTTTAGTGAAGGTAAGGCAGACCATAAATCCCAGGATATATTGTTTTGGGATTCATGCTGGGAACCTTAATGATTTTATGTCACACCCTTGGAATGATTTTGTTTAATAGTGTATTAGTACAACTGGCCCTAGTCATTCTTTTAATTGAAGTTTGACTAAATTGTAATTGACTACACTTTGCTAAAGTTGTTTGAAGGGAAAATGCTTTTTCAAAAAAGTGTGTGTGTATGTATAAATGGCCTGTCTTCATTTCCTTTTCTTCTGACCTCACAGTTTATATCTCTTCCAGCCATGGAAGTATTCATGTTTATAGCTGGATAATGCTGAAATATGTTATGCAATAATAAATTTATTAACATATTTATTGCCACATGACTTTGCTTTTTTTTAAAAAGCCGAACTCCTTCCTGATACATATCAAAATGATACCTTAGATGTTGCCACGTTGCTTTGCATTTTAGCTCGAAGATCTTTCCACCAATCTGTATCTGAAGGGTATTTCCAAAGTTTCCTGTTAAATTCATCTAAAAGCTAAGAATATAGCAAAATGATTGTGAATAATATCATATAATATGAATATATGTATATATATGTATATACCCTATATATATAGATCTGTATACAAAAATAATTAGCTTTAGAAATGTACTGTTACACTTTCCAGCATGCTGGTGCACATTTGGTCAACCAAAATGATTTTCCATCAAATACTTCAACTCAGCTCCTACATCCAACCAACAGAGAATGGCACTTACATAAGAGAGCATGTTACCTGATCAGTCACTGCTTTTATGTCTCCCAACAAGGCTGCAGCAGGTTTCACATTGTTTCCCAGCTCTTCAGCACAAATGTCTACCTGTGAAAAAACACCAAGAAAGCAAAGAAGCAAACGAATTATCTCCTTGCAGGAAAAAAAATTAGATGGTGACTTAAGCAATAACAGGTTTCGTTAGACCTCAGGAGGTCACTGTGCCTCAGATAGGCGGGTGTGAGTCCCTTTTTGTGAAATAGTGCCTTGGAGTTCAGGTGGGCCTTTTGTTACGTACCTGTCTCCCTGCTACGTTTCATCGGCCCTGCTGGAGCTGCTGAATGTGTTAGCTGGAT